GTACGAATCCACTGATGCTACCTTTCACAAGAGAATTGTCACGTGCCTGCCAGTAAGTGGAAAATACAATCTCAGTACCCTGCAGTGATCAAATCAAAAGTACTAAGTAGTAAGAAAGGAATCAGAACCGTAATCAAAGGTATTGTGTACTGTTTTATGAATTGTTGGTGTGCTTCCATATGAGTAGTGCCATGTCGGGCTGAGGGGTGGAATGACTTTTCTCTGCAAACCAACTGGAAAAGAGATCTGTGAGGGGAGGGTGTCTCATTCAAATCTCTAAAATCAGGAGCGCGACAGGGACCAGTTGTTAAGTGGAATACTTCCCAGTGAAATGCTTCTGAAATAAAGCAGCACGGGGTTGCTATTTCTCCTTGTGACTGATCAAATTGCGACGTTGCAGAGGCCACATGTACAGCTGGGCTGGGCAAGAGGTATTTAGGTTGGTGGAGGAGAAGGTTCCTTATGCCTCCGTATGTTACGGAGCTTGTGACTGACTCAAAGAATCCTTGAAAGCAGCTTTCAGCGTTTTGACTGTGCTCCTCTCTGCATCCATTGGCTGCCTCGTGAAGGATCCACAAACGGTAATTAAAGGGCACGGGACTTAATTGCACAATCTGTTATTGCCTTTGAAAGCCAGCTCGTTGTGTAATTACACCACGAGTAAAGTTGGAGTTGGGAGGCTTCAGCTTGCACATGGTGCTTCTGTGGGGAAAAAAAGCGGCAAACTGTGCTAATTGCTGTGCCAGAAGTCAGGGGCTTACAGGGAAAGAAAACATTGTGTGTTGTTAATGTTTCCAAAACATGCTGGTTGGGCCTTGTAATAGGCACAGTGCTGGACTAGATAAACCCTTGGTCTGAGCCAGCGTGGTCAGTTGTAGTTCTGCGTGTCATCTGTCAGAAGTCCCAAAAGCTGACGTACCGTGTGGAAAAATGGTTTATTCGGAATTGGGGAAAAAAATTACTTCAGAACCACTTGGTTCTTTCAGGGTTTGGTGTGTAATAATTAAAAATATAGTGCTGAATGGCAGCATTTGTGGCATTAGATGGAACTCTTTGAGGTGTACCTTGCTCCTTGAGACTCGGGTTTCTCACTGAACACGGTGGGAACCCCCCAGCAGGGTGTTGGATTGTGCAGTTGGATTGTGGCAGTCACATTTTTCTTGGTGGAATCAGTGACACTCGTTCTCTGTTTTAGCTTCTTCATTCAGTTCTGTTGTGTTTGAATTTTTTGTGCCTTGTCTGCTGGTTGTTATGGCTAATGCAAACTGAAAAGAGATTCTTAGAGTCTTCCTTATTTTAAATATTTACACAGGGCAAAGCAAATGAGAAAGTGTAAAGTTCTCAGTGAGCGAAGTAAAGAGGGGTTATCAAGTGAAATGTTTAAAAATAATGAAATGAATGGATAGGACGTGAAGATTTATCGCGATAGCGAGTGCGAAGAAGCGAAATGCTGGAAAATGAGATTCTGTGCTAGCTTGGTGATAGTTTGGTCTTGGATAAGCCTAAACGTGTTCCTCTGAAGGAGCTCCAGAGCTTCCCCAAATTATCTTCGAAATGCAAAATATCTTTGCTCAAGTGGTTATTTGATTGCCTGTACGTGGTTTTGTTGTCTGCCTGAATGGTACGTCTCGATTCCAAACAATTGCTGTGCTGTTTTTTAACTCGAATCAGCCAAAGATTATCAGTTGTCGGCTCGGGAGCGTGTCTGGAGGCGAACACCTGCACTGTGGTGGTAAAGAGCGCAGCTACAGGTGAAAAGGTTTCCTTAGAGATTTTTCTTACGAAGAAACCCTCGTTTCAGGCTCACGCTGAGGACTCTGTAATGGATCATCACTTCCGCAAGCCAGCGAACGATATCACATCCCAGCTGGAGATCAACTTTGGAGACCTTGGCCGCCCCGGACGTGGTGGCCGAGGGGGCCGAGGTGGCCGGGGACGTGGCGGCAGGGCCAGCCGTGGAGGCAGAACTGACAAGGTCAGTAGCTTCCGCTTTTTTCATTTACAAAAGAGTTCAGGTTCAGTCGTTACTGGGCTTTTGGTACCGTTTTAGGGGTCTTCCTTGTTTCTGGGGGAGTTGCTCTGAAAACAAACACTGTTTTAAAACAAAGTGTCTGTTCTTGCAAGTTTACTTTAAACTACGTTACTATTAGGACAAAAAGGTGAATGTTGAGCAGCTTCTTAATAACACAGAAAAGGAAGGGTGGGGAGTAGGTCATCTTAAAAAGAAAAAATGTCCAGCTTTGTATCTAAACCCAGAAAAGCAATTTCGAGTAAGGACAGAATGTGCTGCGAGATGCTGCTGTTTGTGCCAGAGCAGAACCACGAGGACTCGAGTGGTTATTTTCAGACACAGTCAGGATGCTGTAGCTGTGTTGTGACCTGTTGGGGGTGAAAGACTGGTTTTATGGCTGCATGTTATATCTTGAACTTGAGGAATTTAGTTTTCATGGGAAAACAGGACTCTTTCTGGTTTGGGGTGTTTGAGGTTTGGGGTTTTTTTTGTTTTGCTTTTCTAATTTGCAGGTTTTTGGTTTTGTTTTTTGTTTTTTCCTTGTCTGGTCCTAAAACCCTAAGGAAATACTCATGAAAAGTACTGAATGGAGTTGGGGAGGAAATATGTAAAGTTGAAGTACTGCAGGATAGAATCAGACCCCAGCATCCCACACTGGTTTGGGTTGGAAGGGACCTCCAAGACCACCCCGTTCCAACCCCCTGCCCTGGGCAGGGACCCCTCCCACCAGAGCAGGTTGCTCCGAGCCCCATCCAGCCTCAGCCTGGTCCTTGGGCACTGCCAGGGGAGGAGAGGGGGGGGGTTCACAACTTCTCTCTAATAAAACTTGATTAAACATGGATCACTTATTTGTCATAAAGGGATCTAATTGTTACTGACTAGGACATGAGTTCAGTCTCGTGTGGCTTTCTTCATGTAGCCCAGACTTGCTCATCTTATGTCTCTTTTGGGACACTGGCTTTCTTTTTTTTTAGTTTTACTCTGGATCAGTTGAAGTCTTAGGCATATGAGTTGGAGAACTCTCCCCTGATAGCAATATAAGAAAATGTTAAAAGACTTGAAATTCAGTGGTGGCAGTGGTTGCTCCGAGGTGTTTCTCTAAGATGCTGTCTCGCTTGAAGAACGCTGTCATTAAGCAGTTTGAAACTTTTCTGCAGCTTATTACATGTTGCCTTTGTTTATTTTGTTCCAGTTGGTTAAGGAGTTTGATGTGATCCACACACCCAACCAGGTTGGTGATCTCTGCTGGCACTTGCATTACCCGTGAACAAGGCCCCTCCTGCTGGGGGGGCTGTAGCTCCTCTCCTGCAGTGGATCGACTTTTTCTTTTTGCCTTGCTTTCTACTTTCAAGAGATACTAAAGCTTGGGCTTCAAGACACTGCGGTTGCTCTTTAACTCTAGTCTGTGGGCTGGCTACCTGTGCAGAGGCTTAGTCTTGCCTATAGGTGTCGGTACAACTTTTATTGGAGTGGTTTGACTAGATCTCCTGCTAATTTAATACCCTTACAGGAAATTCTGCTATCTGGCTCTTCCTACCCTCTTTCTTCTTCGCATCCCTTGTGCAAAGGTTATTCTGAAATACTTAATTTCCGCCTTTCATTGTGGCACTGGTTTTCAGGTGTGGTACAGAGCCTTTTAAAAAATTGCTGGGACGTACTGAGGAAATGCATGGTTGGCACAAAAATTCTTTTTTATGTGACTGAGGGTAAATTAAATATGCGAAACTTAATTTGTGTCACAAACAGGCATTTTCTGTAGCACTTCAGTCTCGTGCCTCAGTAAGAGTTGATGGTTCTCTGGTAGTAGAATAGCGTGAGCCCACTTGTATGGTCTCTTTAGGAATGGAAACAGGTGTACTTGGAATAAAAGTGTTGGGGAAAAGTTGCTTATGTAGGAATTTGTCCAGCACTAGACTGCTTACTCTGCTGTACCCAGCACCTCTTTGAATATCTGTGTTTCCCTATTGAAAAGGTTCAGGTTAAAGTAGTTTTAAAAAAGGAAAGATTACCCTACCTGGGTAATTTGAGGTGGGGGGAGTCCCCAGCAAGTAACATGTAAAGAATAAAAAAAAAATTGAAGCGCTGGGGGACTTGATGCCACCAAAAATACTAATTTTCTGATGTTTCTCTCTTCCAGTCGAGTGCTTCTGCTCCTGATGTAGATGACCCAGAGGCTTTCCCAGCTCTGTCCTAAACTGGATGTCATAAGCCAACCCTGCCCTCGTCGGGCCTTCCTCTCCGAGGCTTGCATGCTTAAGGATCCTAAACAACTAAAAAATTTAAAAAAAGGAAAAAAAAAAAAGAGAAAAAAAAAAAGAGGAGACTGTCATTCATACCATTCACACCTAAAGACTGAATTTTATCTGTTTTGAAAATGAACTTCTCTCGCTACACAGAAGCAACAATATGGTAGTCAGTTTTGTATTTAGAAATGTAATGGTAGCAGGGATGTTTTCATAATTTTTTCAGAGATTATGCATTCTTCATGGATACTTTTTTGTATTGCTGCTTGAAAATATGCGTTTCCAAACTTGAAATATAGGTGTGAACAGTGTGTACCAGTTAAAAGCTTTCACTTCGTTTGTGGGTTTTTTTTGTTTGGTTATTGGTTTTGTTTTTTTTTAATTCAGGATTTTAGACATTTTCCCCAAACTGAAAACTGGGTTTTAATTATTGCACACTAATTCCATTTCCTTAGTTCCTGTTTAGCAGATTTTTATCAGCCCATGGTCTTTTGGGATATGTGAAAATTTTAATTTGGCAGACTGTTAGTGCAGTATGGAATACTAACTCCTGGAGTCCTTTAGTTGTGACACTTGGAAAACCAGACATTTTTCATCTACATTTGGTAGCTTGTTTACGCAAAATCTTTATACAAGATTGATAACCGGATACTTGAAAAAAAAAAAAGATTCAAAGCACATTGGTTTGTAGCTTGTATTGATCCAGCGATGACGCATGGATAAATTGGTTGAACCAATTTTTAAAATTAATGTATTGCACCTCTCACTCGCCCTTTTTACCTTTATCCCCCTCCTCCTCCCCTCAGCAGAATAGATGCTTTGTTGGCAAAAAAAAAAGGTTTTTAAATCACCCATGCTTTTTCTGTTGAGAGGGTCCCCTGTAGGCTGGAGTTAAGATTTCCCCTTGCTGGAGCCGGGAGGTGTTGGGGGAACGTGATCACCGTTGACCCGCGAGTCCTTCGGGACTCCGGATGGGCGGTGGAATTCGGCAGCGGCCGACGAAGAGGAATCCCTCGCGGGCTGCTTCGCCTGGCTCTGGCAGGTGGAAGGAGCTTTGACTCACACGGGGAAGGGGATGCTGCGATCCGGTGTGTGACGCAACAAAAAGATGCGAAACAAACCCCCCGCCCCGATGCTTAACTTCTCCGTCAAAGGTGGTGGTTGGGGTTTGCGCAGTGTTGGGGATCCGACTGCTGGCTGACGAATGTTTTTTTAGGGAGCGATTGTAAGAAACCGTTTCTTGCCCCCTTGTAGGTTTGTTTTGATCCCCGGGAAGGGGAACATTTTACCACTTCAGTACACAAAAGGAGTTGAGAGAATGGCTGATTAAGAGGGTTTCTTAGGGTTTTTATCTGCAGCGTTTATTAGGAGACTAGAAACAGGTTTCTCATTTAATATTTTACACTTTGGACAGCTTATAACATATTTGTAGTTTCTTAACTAGGTAGATAGAAGACAAAAGGTAACGCCCTATTTTTTTAAAAGCTGTACAGGACAGGCAAAGTATCAGAGACCTTTGAATATGAAATACCAACCTCCTTAACTCTGTGGTGTTGAGCTGGCTTGCTTTATCTGAACTGTTTTCTACAAAAGTTTTTCGTTGGGAACCACTGTTAATATCATTGGGTTAGACTTTCTAGTGCCCTCACGGAGAAAATCCCACGCCGTGAGAAGGAGGCAAGTTTTCCAGCAGTGGATGGTGAAATCTCTTGGTTTGTTTCTCCTGACTCTGAATAGATCTTAATGCAGGGGCTGTCGCAGATTCAGCACCGAACTCTTCCTCTCCCTCCGCGGCTTGGTAGACTCTGTTTCAGCACCAGAATTCAGGACACCTTGGATAATCCAATTAACCGAATGCCTTGATACACAGAAACACACTTAGGGAAAAATTTCTCTGTAACATAAACCTTCCTCCCTGCATCCAAACTGTGTATTTGCTGTTTCGGTTACCACTCGGCTTTTTTTTTTTTTTTTTGATTCCAGATGACTTCTGGGCCAGCCAGTCATTTGGGGCCCTGCTTGCTGGGCTTAGTCAGAAGCTTTTCCTTCTCCTGCTTTAGAGCTTAAAGAGTTTCCCAAATGGCACGTGTCTGTGATTTTTTATTTTTTTTTAAGACAGCTTGTGCTTAACAATTGGTCTGTCTGCTGTTCTGATAGATGTGAATTTGCCTCTTTCAGACCATCTGTGTCATGAACTAAAACTGTGAACGTATTATCTTCTTCATATTGGTGGGTATTAACTGAAATAAAGGTTTATTTTCATGCTCTTTTCCAAACGTCATGAAAACACACAGAGACGAAACCACTTGAGTTAAGAACATCTCGGCTACGTTCTGCCCCGAGAGGTCCAGTCTGCCCGTGGTGCTGGTGCCTGGGCATAAAACGGACTTTCTTTTGGCAAAGCATCTCCAGAGTAGCTTATTTATAATTAATGAGCTTGCTCTTTGACATATTCTGTCCTCTCGCTTGCTCCTTTTGCTGTCACGTCAAATCCAGAGGACTAAGCCTTTGAAAATCTGAACAGTTTGGAAAAGATGGTCGGCAGATAAATAAAGAAGTTAGGAGAGAAACTGATAGAAGCACGCGATGCGAGTTGGCTTTTGAATGTACCAATAGTGAGCTTTGAGCATGAAAGTTGATCTTAACAGGTTGGATGCCACCGATGCCGGGAGGAAACGAGACTGGTTAATAAAAGCCAGTTTTAGCTGTGTGGGGAAAGGCGCAAATCCTTCTGAAATGTCGGAAGTTGGTGGTGTTTGCAGCTCGAGGAGTCCAGGCCGCTCTTGACTGTAATGGCTCGTTTGCCCGTGGAGATCGGTTTACGTAGCCACGCCTCTTGTTTTAATAAATGCAGGACATATGCCTAAAGCTGACACCTCCAGCATGTGCTAACCTGCTTCTTTTCTAAAAAAAAATCCTTACCAGGGCCTCGTTGCTTTCGTGTCCTACCCCTGGCCTGGTCTGCCTTCGCTAGTCGCAGCCTCCCAGCTGGGCTCAAAGGATGCTTGAGCAAGAGCCAAGTGCCCTGACGCAGTGGTCGGCGAGTCAAACATTAATATTGGAAAAGAAATAGGTGAATGACAAAACAGTAGTTGTTTTTGCCCTAAAAATACCTTTCTTTGGTAAGAGGTATCTCACTTGGTTGTGTGGAAGGACTGAAGCTTGCAGGGCTCCAGGTTTTGGGTCTTTTTCCCCATACTTTGGCGATGATTACAGCTTTGAAATAAGAAAGCTTTGTTTTGCTTGCGCGTTCTTTACCGGCCAGAGCAAGGGTAAATTTGGGGTTTACTGCAGTCTTTCAATTCAGGAGTTTGAATTCGTGTGTGCCTCTGGGATTTTGACTCAATGGGATTTCCTCGCCTTGTGTGGAGGGTGAGGCTTGGGCAAAGATGCCAAAAGCAGTGGCTGCTCTGCAGGTCGCTTGTGAGCTGTTGCTAAAAGTGTCTTCCTGTCCTGCCTGGCACATCCACGTCCGAGCCGTCACTTGGCACGTGGGGCTACCGCAGTTGTGGCACTGAGGATGCAAATGTTGCAAACGACAACACAAAACTCATTTTGTGGTAGCTCCGTGAGCGGGGCTGCGTCGCAGAGCTGCTGCAAAGCCTCTGTGCGCCTGGATTTATCGGGAGCCTGCAGGTCAAGGAGTCCTGCTGGCTTCGGTGTCGGAAGTGTGGGTGGAGGCAGGGCAGCATGTGTCGCTGGTGTTGACACCGTGACGAGGCGGGCTGTGTCATGTCTGCGGGGCTGGACTAGATGATCTTTGGAGGTCCCTTCCAACCCCCAACATTCTGTAACGTTCTGTGAGTATGTGTGTGTCTCTCGAGCGAGGGGCTGTCCTCTGCCCATACTGGCACATCTGGAAATTGTTTTTCTTCAGCACCGTCAAGGCAAGCTCAGGCCGGGCAGTACGGGTAAGTGTCCTTACCCCTCGCTTACTGCTGGGAAGAGGAGGCTTTGTCGTGGCTGCAATATTGAGAAAGGTCCCTTGGCGTGCCTGGGAGCGGCTCTGGGCAGCGTGGTGCTGCAGGTGAGCCTGGGATGGGGTCCTGTAGCGAGAACCTGCATCTCGGAAGCGCTGCCCAGGAGCACACAGATCGCCAGAGCTGTTCCTGGAGTGTGGCCACTCCTTGCAGCATTTCCCTGCGGAACCTTTCCCTCCACTTTGGGAAGGCGGTTTCCTGGCCAGCAACTGTCTGCAGTCTCTTCCTCAGTTCCTTAGCCCTGAGAAGCTGCTTTCAGGAGGAACGGTGCGTGCTGTCGTGGCCCCAGCTTTGCTTTTGTTGCTGAAGACAACGAGGCCGGGTTGTTTGGGGCGTTTGGGGGTGTCTGGTGGGAGCTGGCAGCGAGTTGGATCCCTCAGGCTGAGCTGTTCTGCCTTTTACCAGGATCTATCTCCTTCCTAGCAATAGCTGTGGACTGAGGTCAACCAAACCAGTGCCGGTGGGGTTTTTTTGTTTTCGATAGACAGAAGGCTTGAGAATGGCCAGGCTGCTTGCAGCCAAAAGGAAACGTTCCGGGTGTTGTGGGAAGCGTAGAGAGAAGTCACTGAAAGCAGAACATGGGGAGAGCTGGTGCCAGGGCTTGTCTTTCACATCCCTAAAAAAACCTTAAAACTCCCGTGCGCACAGGTGTGTGTCCTGCCTGTGGCAGAGGTGGTCTCGCAGGGCCGGCTGGGGGGGCAGACCATGGGTGATGGGAGCAAGCCCAGCCTGTCTGGCACTGGCCCGGCAGGCAGCGTGTAGCACCTGTGAACTTGGGGATGCAGGAGCCTGTGAGCCTCCTGCAGAGTGAATCAGCCACATGTGGAATGAAAACGGGAAAAAGCCAGGAGAGGTCTCCCTGATGCAACAGCTGGGGTTGCTTTCAAGTATCTCCGAGTGAGGAGAGGCTGCGAGAGGTGATTTGTTTAGCCTGGAGGAGGCTGAGCGGGGATCTCATTGGTGCCTGTAGGTATGCAGAGGCTGGGAGTCAGGAGGCCACCCAGTGACAGGACACAAACTGGAAAACTGGAGGCTCAACCTAAACATGAGGAAATCCTTTACTGTGAGGGTGCTGGAGCCCTGGCACAGGCTGCCCAGAGAGGGTGTGGACTCTCCTCTGGAGAACTTCAAAACCCTCCTGGACGTGTATCTATGGGATCTACTCGAGGTGACCCTGCTCTGGCAGGGGACTAGATGATCTTCAGAGGTCCCTTCCAGCCCCAACCGTTCTATGATTCTCTGCAGGGCGGTGGGGAAGGCTACACAGCCTTGTGATGCGGGAGCATCTCTACTGCTGCCATGAGAGGAGACCTTTGCAGGGCTGTTCCCTCAGTGAGTCGGGTGGAGGTGCTCTGTGATAGTGGTATCAGGGGAGGGTTTCACCACCAGCTTGTGCCACTGCTCAGCAGGTTGTGTAGCCAGCTGCAGGTGGAAAGCAGCTGCCTGATCCTGGGTAGGAGGAGAAGACACTCCAGGTAAGTTCAGGTCTGGACTAACCTCATCTCTAGCAGCAACACTTCAGCTTTATTTTTAGATGCTTTATTCTCGGTAGCTGCAGTGTAGCGCTTGAGCTTGGCTGGAGGAAACGAGGAAACATAAGGTTTCCAACACTTTATTCATATATATACACATAGAGTAAACAAAGTCATTAAATATGTAACACATACTTCACGCCTGTAATTAGAACGCTTCAATAAACGATTTAAATTCTTCTCGCCAGTCCCTTTGACTCACTGCGTGCGTGTCCTTCATGTAGCTTCGATTTCTGGTGAGGATTCCTCCTTTCCTGAACCGAGCCCTGCAGGCGAGTTGGCCCTGGGCTGAGCCGTGTCACCTCGGTACCCACATGCGCTGCGCCACCCCTGTCCTTGGGCTGGACTGAGCCACTCATGACTGTGCGGTGGGACGGGGGCCTGAGGCAGCCCAGGCTGCACGGTGACATCTGGGTAATTAATTAACCTTTCCAAAAGCCAGGTCATGCAGCCCTGATGTTCCCAATCCTCTGATTCTACCCAAGTGTGCTGGATGGATGAGGAGCTGCTGTATGGTACAGTGAGGTTTTGACTGGCAGCACTCGAAGGGTTGGTGAGTTGGGTTTTTTAAATCACTTAGAGGTGTCACATGCAAGTTACTGGACTGGTTGGACTAAACACACTGAAGTACTTCGCTAAAGTGCAAAAAATCAGGCCAGGCAGGCTTATACTGCCCCAACGGTTACCTTGTGAAAGAGCTGCGGTTTATTTTCACCGTATCCAAAGTGAGATTCCCTTCATAGGAAAGCGCAGAGGTCACAAAAGTCGTTGGGAAGACAGAGAGGGGGTCGCACTCCAGTGCATCGCCCGTAACCGGGGGTGTGTCTGCGGCGATGACCGGGTTGGCGATGTACTCACTGACACTCTGCATCTGCTCTGTCGCCTCCAGCACCATCCTCTTGTAGAGGTCGGGAAGCTCCTGCTCGTAACCCTCCTCATCTGCCTCGCTGGGCAGAGCCCGGTGCTCCGGCTCCTCCTGCCCCGAGCTGCTCTCCAGCCACTCGCTGCTTCCCCTCCCGACACCCAAGGGGACCTTGTCCAGCGGGACTAGGGGCTCGGTCTTCACGAAAGCTTCCTCTACTTGGGTTGTTTCGGGCTCTTCGAAGCTGCTGGCGCTGGGCAGGAACAGGCTGGAGGGCAAGATCAGCTCTGCCTGTGGAGGGACACACGCCCCAGCGCGAATCGGTTATGCAGTCGCTCTCCTGTGACCTCCCACCCCTGGAACACGAGCATCCCTCCACGCAGCACCTAATGCTGCTGAAATGAGATCTTTCTCTGTTGTTCTTGCTTTTATTTTGCCCAATCCATCCTACAGGCTAACGTGGGATGAGAGAAGAGCTTGCTCGCTGGATTTCCTGCATGAAGGGATTACTGACTCACATAGCTCTAATTGCTTTTTCTTCCGAAGGTGATTGGATTAGAAGAAAAAAAAAAAAAAGTACAATTTACCTTCATAGACATGTAGTTCTTAGCCCAGGTGGCATTAGCTGGGTCTGGAATGGCTTTGCTCTGCCACTGCGGCATGAAGACGGAGAGGAATGAGCAGAATCTGCAGATTGAATAAGTGCAATTAAACCCCTGAGCGCCGATTGCTGCAGCACCCACTTGGGACGCGCTGTTTGTGCCTGAGAGTTCGGTGTAATCCTGAACCTGCCTTAGCAGGGTCCTGCAGAGAGCCCGGCTGTGCAGCTCGTGAGCGGAGGTAAGTGCTGCCCAGGTCCTCCTCCTGCCAGACATTTCCCCGTGATGGCTTTTACAGCAGCCAGATACAGCCGTGCACCCTGGTCCTGCAAAATCTGTCTGGGGACACCCATGTGTTGCTCTAAAGTTTGTAACCTCAGGGTTTAACTTAGTTGAGAGGTGTCCCTGCCCATGACAAGGAAGTCGGGTTAGGTGATCTCTAAGGTGCCTTCCAGCCTAGGCCAGTCTATGATTCTATGATTTTCGAGGATCGTGCCTCTCCAGTTTTCTTTTGGCAGAAGCAGATCTTAAGCTCTAGGTAAATTCATTATATAAGTGAATTGTATTTGAAGTTCGGTGGTTGTTCATGCTATCACTCTGAAAACTCTGTTCAGAGCAAGCCTCGCTGTTCCCTGAGGTGTCCCGGAAGGATGTGACCACCCCTTCTAACAGTTCTGTGTTTTATTGGCGCATAACAGATGGATCCACTCACGCTTTTCTTGCTGGAGGCACGGAGCAAACGCAGACCGAGACGATGAAAAAGCTGCAGATGAGCACAACGGTCACCCAGTCCCCAGCACCTGCAACACAGAACACCCGTTGTCCACCTTGATTCCAAAAATAAGGAATCTAAACATGCTAGTTCAAGCCGGGCAGCAGCCGTGGCCTCGTGTTTGCGCTCATAAAACATACCCATGTCTTTTTGGTTCAACATCAGGGATGGGGTTGGACTGTTGGGGACACCAGTGCTCTGTAACACAGCCACATCTGAACCGAACGCCGCTGGCGGACGTGGCCGTGGGGTGGTGCGTGCAGCAGAGAGGTGTGAACTGAGAAAAACTCAGTGTGTCAGTAATCAGGTGGCAGTGACAGAGCTGTTCCTCAGCGAACACCTCTTGGTGGCTTTACTGTGCTTGTACCAGATGCTTATAAATGGGATTTTTGCAGAGTTTTATACCAGAGAAAAATGTTTGTCTGGCTTGCTTTAGTTTCCTTTCTGGATTTCTCCTGTAGCTCCTGGGAGAAAGCTGCCTCCAGAGCAGCCGTGTTCCCACGCTGCAGAGATGGGATTTAGGGGCTTGAAGTTGTTGTCGTGGCACATCACTGGGAGCAAACGCAGCAAAAGCTGCTTCCTGGTGATACTTAAGCACAGTTTTTATAACCTCCCTTCTTGGCCTTTAGTGATCATTTGTCTTGATTTGGGCTCTCACACCAAACTTGATTAAAATGAGTGGTTCCAGGAGAACCCACAAAGATGCTCAGGGGGCTTGGAGCACCCTGGGGCTGGTAGGAGGTGTCCCTGCCCCTGGCCAGGGTTTGGGATGAGATGGTCTTCTGGGATTCATTCTATCCAAACAATTTGTCCTGCAGGAGAGAAACCCCAACTGCTGCCGTTAGCTGGAGTCAGAAATCTGGAGGAGAAGGTCTTGCTTTTGCATCCCCTGGGAAACCCAGGAACTGGGACCCCACGAGCTGGATGTGTGCGCTACAGGAGCCCAGGGATGCCGTGCTACTCAAGAAAACTCTGATGTGACAGATGCTTTCGTGACCACAGATCCTCAGAGAGCCACCATCACATGGGAGGTGTGGAGGTCACTAGGACTTTCTGCGCAGACACCTGTGCCAGAGCTTGAAGCACACGGATACCTGGACTGGCAAACCCTTCCCTCTCCAATAAACCATCCCACCACCCTTGTGCTATGAAATCATAGCACCGCTGGAAGCTTGAAGACAGAGATGCTACATCTTAAAACCAGCCAAAACTAGAAACGTTCACTAATTCAAGAACCACGAGAGACCTTCGCTAGTTAGGAGCAGGAAAAGCATTCCCAGTCTGTGGAAATGTGGGGAAATGGCCTTAAATCGTGCCAGGGGAGGTTCAGGTTAGATATTAGGAAGAATTTCTGTACTGAAAGGGTTGTCAGCCATTGGCACAGGCTGCCCAGGGAGGGGGGTTGAGTCACAACCCTGGAGGGGTTTAAGTGATGGTTGGGTGTTGTGCTGAGGGACAGCGGTTAGTCGTGTTGATAGGGCTGGGATGATCTTGGAAGTCTCTTCCAGCCAAAACTATTCTATGATTCTATGAAAACCAGGGCCCAAGGGCTCCTGGTTGCCCATCCTTGCAGAGGCTCCTTACTTGGCAAGCGGAAGAGCTGGTCGTTGCCACGAGGTCCCTCGCCGGCGGCCGTCAGAGCCGTCATCCACAGGAGGTAGAGTTCGCCGGGCTGCAGGTCAGGGACGTGCCACCAGCGCTGGGCTGTCACACCAGGGACGGCTGGAGGGAAAATGGGGACAATAGGGGTGACCTCTGCCACTGGACAGACTGGAGAGCCTGGGTTGTATCTCCTGTCCTTCCAACCGGTAAGTTCACGGCTCCATCTAAAATGAGGTTTGTGTGGTGAAACTGTGAAACAGCCACTAAGAGCTGCCATGTGGCTTCTGAATCAGGTTAAGGAGAAAAAAAAAAATCCATTTACTGGGTGGACGTCTGGGAGTTACGGAGCGGGAGAGGGCTGGGGTGGGAGAAACCCGTGGGTGTGGCAACGTGGCGGGTGCTGCTGCCGAGCGGGTCTCACAGGCAGAGCATGTATGTGGGGCGCAGGACTTTCAGAAAGTCTGAGTTATTTTACCCTGCCAAATCTTGCAAGGGTTTGTATTGACTATGACTTAAGAAAATGATATTTTATTTTTTTAAAAAAACAAAACCAGGGAGAAATCTGATAGTTCCACACGCAACTCCAAATGATCTAACCCACAGCTGGAAGTTTCGGGTCCGTGGTCCTGGCGATGGGCAGCTCTAGCAGAGGGAGCTGATGGGACCTCCTGGCAAACTTGTGACTCTCCAGAACTTTCTGAAGGCATCTCCCTCCCTTCCACCCACGGCGTGGGCACATCACGTCTGTCTTCTGCAGACACCTACCGTAGACGGTTGGGGTTGCCTGCTCGTCCTTTTTCTGCAGGTAAATGTTGTACCCGGTGATGCAGCCCCTTTGCTGGTGGGCAGGGATGGCTTCCCACGACACCAAGATACCGTTGGCCTTCGGCGTCACGTTCATCTGAGGTCCGGCTGCCGGTGCTGCGAAATGACTCCATTTTTTAGAGCTGAATTTAAAGCTAGCTTAAAGATAACCAGGAAGAGTATGCCGCGAGTTTACCTTTTGCCCTTGAGTATCCCCAAAACGATGCTGCTTGGCCAGCTCTGTCCTGATAGAGCGCAAACACGCTGATCCGATAGCACGTGTCGTCGTTTATGCGCTCTAAAGAAAGAAATTAAAAGCAGCCGGTAACCCATGAAAGGGTTTACAGTCATGGCGGAAGCGTTTATATCAACTGCTTAAAGCTGAGATGAATCTTCTGATGGTTAATGCATCTTCCATAAAAAAGGAAAAAAACTTCTTCCCTGTTAGGGGGCTGGGTAGCTCAGTCAGTTGAGGTAACAATGCTAAGGTCATGGGTTCGATTCCTGTTCGGTCCCCACGTGTTGCCTGATCTAGTCGAGAGGTGGTGTCCCTGGCGACAGGGAGGCTGGATTAAAATGATCTCTAAGGTCCCTTCCAGCCTAGGCCATTCTATGATTTCTGTTCTGGGAAAGACCAACGAGGACAGCGCTCGCCATCACAACTTCATGGCTACCCCGTAGTACAGGTTGGTATTAACCAACAATTAGCAGAAAAGACGTAGGGTTTGTTTTAAGCCTTTGAACTCTTGTACCTCTGGCTGGCTTGTTGTGTTTGAGAGGGACTGGGGTTTTTAGAGACATTTTATGTATTGGCAGGGAACCTACAGGGAGGGACTTTTGACAAGAGTGTCCAGCGACAGGACAAGGGGAGATGGATTTAAATTGAAGGAGAATGGGTTTAGGCTGGATCTTGGGAAGAAATTCTTCAGCCCGAGGGTGGCCAGACTCTGGACTAGGTTGCCCAGAGAGGCTGGGGCTGCCCCCCCCCTGGGGATGTTCAAGGCCAGGTTGGATGAACCTGGAGCAACCTGGGCTGGGTAAGGGCGTCCCTGCCCACGGCATTAGATCATCTCTGAGGTCCCTTCCAACCTAAGACATTCTGTGATTCTATGGTCATAGAGTCATCTGAAAGCAAGTGCAGAGCTGAGCCCGGAGCAGCCACAGATTTTATTTTTTCCCTCCTATGCAGAAAGCTTTAAATGCTTATGCAGAATCGCTTATTTGCAGTCATTTCTTACCCTGAATTAGGAAAAAATTAGATTCTGACTCGTTCCTTTCGAAATACTCTTTCACATCCCCCCTCAAGGTGAGATACCTGCTATCACAGTGGACAGGTTGGATGCCGGCAGCTTCACCCAGCCTGGAGGGAGATCCTGGGGTGCGTTCCCCTCCCCGTCTGCCCACGCCACCACGTATCCGCTGATGGAGGCGACTGAGCTGACGGGTGGTCTCCAGCTGACGAAGATGCTGCTGTTCCCCATGGCTACGGCAGAGACATTCTGAGGAGGAGGGAGGTCTTATGGGGGAGAAAGAGTGACCAGAAAAAAGACATTTTTACGATGCTGCAACAAGACAAGTGCAGAGAGAGATTTGTCTCTTTGAATAAGTCTTCGGAGACTGTGAGTCTCCAGGGTGCCCAGTTACCGGCACAGGGGCTGGCTGGGTTCAGGGAATGCTCATTAATTGGTTCAAGGAACACTCATTAATGTTGCTGCCCAGGTAAAACAGAGTGCAGCTTTGCAGGAGATAAAGCTTGTGTGGTCTCCTCTCACTGTTACGTTCCCTTCACTCCTACCACCTCTCTCATGCCAGAAAATCCCTTTTTTTTTCCTTTTTGGGGTTAGTTTTCTGCAGTGCCATGAAACTGCACCCCCTGACCCTGTCAAAAACCCGATCTGAAGACCCCTGACGACTCCTGGAGGTGGACCTTGAGCAGCCCAAGGAGGTGGGACCCCAGCATGTCCGTGCTGTGCAGGACAAAAGAGAGCACTGGTGCTATTCCCAGTGGTCCAGACCCTTACCCTGGGTGCCCAGCTCAGTCATGATGGATGCAGGAGGGGACCTGCCCCTGGAGTTTTCAGCGGTGACCGTCACCTTGTAGCCCCTCCTCGGCAGGACTCTGGTGTAGCTGGTTTGGGTGCTGAGGTGCGTTTCTGCCACTGGCCGGCTCTGTGGTCCCAGGGCTTCGAAGGTGACTGCGTACCGCAGGATTCTTCCTCTCGCCTCCTGCTCGCTCAGAGCCTGTGAGGAGCACGCGGGGATCAGTCTCCATTTCTTCACAGAAGCAAAGCCGGGAGCTGAGGGCATCACACCGGGGCGTCCCGGCACGCAGCCCACGTCCCTCTGACCCGGATGCTCAAGCTGCCCCATTTAAGTGAGGAACTTACAAAGGGAATTTCTCCTCTTCTTTTCTGCTCCAGAAGAGGTTACTCGCAGCGACGGTGTTACTCACATACCTGCTGATGCCCTTTTTTACTTTATCCTCTGATCCTTTATACTGACTAATTTTTACTTTATCCTCCTCCAAAAGCTGGAGGACGCAAGCGGTACCGTCAAGATTTCTAGCTGTGCTTGTCACAAAAAAAAAAAAAAAGAGGATTACCTGCACAGCTGGATTTGTAAAAACAAGCAAATTTTTAATGTGGGGGAAAATCCCAATTTTTGTTTGAAGCCGTGGTAAAGAATTATTTAAATTAAACCGCTTAGAAGACACAGCTCTGGTTTTTCCACCCCAGGTGTCTGCAGTCGTACCATCAGTTTCACCGCTTCCTGCAGTGAGTTCTTTTCGTTTGGCTTTTTTTTTTTTTTATTATAATACAACAAGAAAAGGAAGAGGGGAAAAAAACCCACACCAACAAACCACTTTTAAAAATAGGAGAATGTTTGTAGCGTTACGATTGCTCAGGACAAACGTAGCCGCTTGGCTGAAACGCAGCTTGGCCATCTTTTCTTTGGCATTGACGTGAAAATAGCTGAGCACGTGTTGATGGGATGTTGCCCTGAGGCTGAGTTTTGCTTTGCAGCTGTCGTGAAAAACTATAAAAGCAACATTTTATGAATGATGCCGTGGGAAGTCAGCTTCGATACGGAAAGTGCCACCAGCTCGCTGCTGCACGGCTTGAGGTTAAAGGTCTTAAAGTTCAAGATCTTAAAGTTAAATGCCCTAAAACTAAAAAGCGCTAGAGTCACCAAATCACATGAGAATTTCTGCTTTCGCTTGCAGCATTGGTGTGAGGAGACGACAGAGCATTAACTGGAAGGTTAACTAGAGATTGCAAATGGGAAGTGAAAAGTATTTGTGCCTTATGAAAAATGATCTTGCTGGCTTTGTAAAAAAATGCTCCACAGGCCAAAAATTCCTCTTGAACCTGGCTTTAAGTGCTGGTCCTGATAATAGTGTCACACTGGAGGGATTCAGCTCCCAGCATCAGTAAGAGGGCTTGGTTTTACTGGGAATGCTGGTGCAGCAGACCCAGCCTAAGACTTTTCCCATGTGCTGGAGGGCAATGTACACCAGTGTGGGATTTATTCATTTTTTTTCAATCTGCATCCTTTTTGAAATTTCCCTTGCAGGTCCCAGCTCACAGAAGACTTGGCTGACCCAAAGGACCCGCTTGTCTGTTGTCAGACCTGCAGCTTTATGATGAGCCAACCCTTCTGCATTTTTTACGATGAGGATGGTTGAAGCCCTGGCACAGGTTGCCCAGGGAGGCGGTAGAAGCCCCATTGCTGGAAATGTTCAAGGTCAGGTGGGACAGGTCTCTGAGCAACCTGATCTAGTTGCAGATGTCCCTACTCGCTGCCAGGGGTTGAACTAGATGAGCTTGAAAGGTCCTTTCCAACCCAAACTGTTCTGCTTCACATCTGTAAAGAAAACTAATTTCTAGCTGCTGCTTCCAAGAGCCTTGGCCAACTGTCCATCCACACACCGGTGAGGTTGTGAGGAGCCTTTCAGTTGCCCAGATGACATCTATCTCTTGAGATGACCAAACTCTAAAACATTCAAAGGGCCATGATAATAGATTACCTCCTCTGCTTCCCCCATTCTTTATTGCTCTGTTCTTCATCTAAGACAGAGCAGCCCTGCAAGACAGAGCAGAAATGCCCCTGAAGGAAGCTCATACACAAAAGCAGACACAAAAGGTGTGTGCCCAAGGAGAACGTGGGGCACAGCATCCTCCTGGCCTCCCAGAACCCCTGTCCTCGCCAAACGTGGCAGCCATGGCGAAGAGCAATGAGGCGGAGGCCGAGGAGAGGGAGATATTCATCAGAAACAAATGCGGAAGTCGGTGAGGTTGTTGTCTGTTAGATCTGTCATCAGGGATGGGAGTTCTCTTGTGGAAAGGGACAAGGAACATTTGTCTTGGGAAGGTGTTAACCGAGCTGTGCCACCTCCACCTCATGGGTGTGACATGCTGGGAACGTGCTCTGCTTCCAGCACGACGGAAATTTTGGACAGCTGTAAAAGGGGACTTGTAGGTAGAGAAGAGCTGATGAACGTCCTGGGGAGCAGAGCTGGGCTGTGTCCCTGTCCCTGGGCACGGGTACAAGCGCTCTCCTTGGGTTCGGTCCTTTCCCACGAATGCATAAAGTGGAGTTCCCCCTCTAACCCTGCTGATCTTTGCTGCCTCTGCTCAGGTTTCACATAACGTACCTTCCAAAAAAGAGAAATGTTCTGTCTTTGGCTATCCACGTCCTGCTGCCGGTACCAGACATCCAGGATCCCGGTCGGCACTGGCATGGAAGAAAAAGGTGAGCAACATCAGCAGCTGCACACTGAAGCAAATAAACAAGAGTAGGCAAAGGAGGTAAAAATGAGGAGACGATTAGTATTTAAGATTTGAAATGTCCCCAAAATGATGCAATCTCTATTCGCAGTTGGAGGTGATGGTGCTCACGGAGAGGACAAGCCACAAACCCGAGACAGGACTCTGCTCTGCTGCTGACTTGATCCTGCACCAGGTAATGAGAATGCACACAAAGGAAGCCTAGGCACTAAACCCACAGTCTTAGCGCTCGTCTTGGCATCAAAACTGAGACTAATTAAGGTCCTTGGAGGTTGGATACATTGGTCCTAATAGAACAGCAACCTGAGGTGATGGGGTTGTAGGATCTGTGGGATTTCTCTGACTGCCTCCAGGAAATAAGTCTGGATAGGACCTGGTCAGAGACAGTTTAAACCCTTTCCCTTTCCACAATTCTCTTGATGGTCACAGATCAACTGGAAACCTCTGATATTTTGAATAAACCTGAAAAATGCACAAAAGCAAACTTCTGGCTTCAAGAATGGGTGAACAACGTGCTCCAACGGAGGCCCTTGGAGCCCCTGTGACAAAAGGTACCAGAGCCTGGTTCCTCAAGGGCTGTGATCAAAAAGAAAGCCTTCAAATTCAAACAATAATTGTTGTTAATAACCTAAGCAGCAGGCAGCTGCTGTACAACCCCAGCCAGAACGGGGCTGCCTGCTCTTTGCTGTATTCGAAGACAGAAAAAATCCTCTGGGCCAGCAATGTTAAGAGCTGTATGTCCTGTATTAACTGCAAGGAGTGACTGGAATAGAAACAAGAAGCAGGGCTCGCAGAAGAGCTAAAACCAGAGCACACGCGCTGTGATTGAGGGAGGAAGGGGCAAGCTGAAAGCAGGAGAAAATAGAATGTGGGACTGTATCTGTTGGACTCCAGCCTGGATTTTAAGGTTCGTTTCACATGTGAACCACATGAATTAGCTGGGGGAAAAAGCAAAACGTATGCTTGCTTATGAACAGAGAGAGAAAAAAAAATATCTCATTGAAAAACTGTGCTCCAGAATTTGCAAACTCCTGGGTGGAACTTCAGCTCCTTCAAAGAAATTCAGCCATGATGTACCCAGAGCTTCTCGTCTGCAACCTCCCCTTGCTGTCACCTCGCTGGAGGACAGAAACTGCTCCTCAATTAGCTCAAGAGATTCTCGTTTTGCTGCAGGGGCTGGGTGCGAGGTGACGCCCACAACTGCCGTCGCGAGCTAGGCTACGTTGAGAAGGTTGAGAAAACTGTTGAGAGGAAGGTGGGGGAGGGAAGGAAAAGTTCTCACCTTTTTGCATCAATCAATGCTGCTTACGGAAACTGATGCCCGGCCGTGGTGAACAGCCTGAGCAATACCTGCACGAGCCTGAAGAGCTTACGGCAATTCCCAAAAAGGAGTACCGAAAGGCAAGAGGAAGATGAAAGGAGGGGATGCCAAAGGAGCCGACGCATCTTTGATGAAGCACGAGCTTCTGAGAAGCTTTCTTCTCTCATTTGAGCTGGAAGTTTTGCAGCGTGTGAGGCTGGGCAGCTCAGGGTGAAGGCGGGCGGGTCGGAGCATGTGGCCAGCGTGAGCCTTGGCAGAAACAGGTAGAATTGCCCTCGGGCTGGGGCTGAGAGTCCCTGAAGCCTGCTGAGCCCTGCTGTGATGCAGGAAAGCCCTTTGCTCACTGAATTCGTTTGGACTTGATGACCTTAAAGGTCTTTTCCAACCTAGGATTCTGTAAATGCCTGGTGGGATGTCTCTGCTGGGCTGAAGGTCTGTGGTGACTCCGTGAAGGGCTTACCTAGGGAGGCTCCGAGGGAAATAATATCTCTACTTGAGAAAAGAGGACTTGGCAGAACTAAAGTCTTAAAACCTGCCGGTGTGGGGAGAGGTAAGAGAGCCCAGGCAGTTTCTCAGCCAATTCACTCAAATTGTCAGCAAATCATTGGGTGAGCTCAAGGACCTGCAGTGTGCCGCCCAGGCGGGGGTTGTTGCAGGAACTCACTAAAACGCTTAGATATGCACGAATGCAGAATATTTTTCTTTCCCCAGCTAAGCTACACAACCTGCCTGCCTTTTCCAGATGCAGCAGGCCACTACAGCTCGAGGAAAAATTCCCCCAACCTTCACCAACATCAAAGGAAAATACCCTTCGGATCTTCTCTGCAAACTCCTGAAATTCCTGTTTTGCAAGAAACTTCCTTTCTTTTTTCTTTTCTCTTTTTTTTTTGTTCATTGGAAAAACAATTTTCTTACAGCAGTGAGTTCCCTGTTGGCTCTGGCTCTACAGAGAGCTCTGCAAACCGACCAGCATGACCCCAGCCGCGTTTTCCCTTTGTTAGCTCAAGCTTCCGCTGGTAGGCGAAGGCTTAGAGGAGGAGATGCCGTCTTGCCTTACCTGCTTCTGGAGTCCGTGTCCGATACGTGCGCCAGTTACTCCATAGTCCTCTCTCAGGATGGATTTTACAGCTGACCTCAAATTCATAGTCTGTGTAAGGCTCCAGACCGTAAAGATGGAATTTTTCACTCTTCAATCTTTCCACCTTTAATGAAGATAAAGGACATTTAACGTTAAACTCAGGAGGAAACTCAGGTTGAAGACAGGGACAGGCTGAACTGCTAACGCCCAAAGGAAGCCCAGCCCGCACAAATATGTCTTAAAAAGAAGGGGGAGAACCCTGATCTTGAGGCAGCTTTGATAACTCAAAGAATGATGTGATGGATCACTGGGCTTGCAGCACTTCACCTGAAAAATCCCTCATTTAACTGTGCGAAGATGACGAATTTTCTGTTTGTATCCTTACTCAACTTCAAGCTATACGTTTCTTTTACGACTGAAAATAAAAGCAAAGATTTCCAATTGAATGTGCAAGCATTTGGAAGTCGCATAGCTGTCGGCTCCAATGAGCAGGTGTGTCCATATCCCAACAAAAGTTGGGTCAGACATAGAGTCGTGGGCTGGTTTGGGTTGGAAGCACCCAGGATCATAATTTCCTTTATTCAGAGGAGGATTACCATGCTCCAAGCGCTGCTGGTGAGGGGCCGATACCTCAGCCTGCAGTGCTGCGCTTTGGTCGCGCCGTGCCGAGAAAGGATGCAGCTGGTCGCAGAAGAATTTTCAAATTCCACTCGAAAGTCGGGAGGATGCGGCTTCACTGGCGGCAGAAATGGAAAAAGCAAAGAGGGCTCAGGTGTGCAGCTCGGGACGAGGAGGGGGGTTTACACTGGATGGATGCTTTGTTTCTGAGAGGTTTAAAGAGGAAAGTGCTCCGAGTACTTTCGTGTCTTTCTAAAGGGCTGGGACGAACTGCAAGGCAACACATGAGTAAGCACTTACCTATGTCTAGTAACGTGAACACGAACGGCTGTGAAAAAGCACTTCCCAGCTCGTTGGAGGCGGCAGCCACAAGGGTGTAAGTAGAGTCAAAATTCAATTTGCCCAGAGCCAGCGAAACAACCTTCTTATTCCCACCTTCTTCTGAAATGCAGAAGTCATCTGTCCCATTCGACAGGCTGGAGTAGAAGGAAAATGCTTGGTTAATGCTCTCCTAGTCACCAAGGAAACTGAACTCCAGCTGCGTTGGGGCATGGCTTTCACTCCCTCCCTCCCTGAAAAACGGAATCCCCATCCCTGGAGGGATTTAAAAGCCGGGGAGATGTGGTGCTCAGAGACATGGGTCAGGGGTGGGTCTGGCAGTGCTGGGTCAACGGTTGGACTCAATGATCTTAAAGGTATTTCCCAACCTAAATGGTTCTATGATCCTACTCCTCTAGCTCTATTGGTAGTAAAGGTGGTAAATTGGTTTTTACAGGCAAAGGAAATACTTCTGGATTTCTGCTGAGCTGCAGGTGTGTGAGTACGTTCCTTTAAACAGTTGAGCGGTGACCTGATATTGGTTACCTGCTCTTGCTCTGTGATTGAGCAGAGGTGTTGGTACATGGAATTTGAAGGCATGATGGATTCCGGGGTTTTTCTACATAAGTTGGTAATTCAAAATGCCATTTATCTGCACCCTAGCGGTCAGATTGCGTGACTCCAGAGACAACTTTTAATTCTCAGCCTGCCATTCAACCCATTGCCTTGGGTAACTCATTTAACTTCTCTGTGTCTTTTCTTCCACCTGAATCAGTGATGTTTGTATCACGTTGCTTCAAGCTGACTTTTTGTATTTGGTAATACATTTAGCAACTTCCTAGCAAGTACTTCTCTATCTCTACATTACAACGCTTGCAGGACTCGTTATCCACATTTTTCTACCCTTCTGCACATTACCTGTATAATCTCCTTCCCCTTAAAGAGCAGCAGCAGCTTTCTACAAGCTACTGAGAAAGTTGCTGCTACTTGACAAACAGAAGCAGGTCAAGAAGAAGAAGGTGAAGAAGAAGACAACAAAGAATTGTAGTAAGAAGGTGAATAAGAAGATGAAGGAGGTGAATAATAATAATTAGAAGAAGGTGGATAATAAGAATAAGAAGGTGAAGAAGAGCAAGATAAAGAAGGTGGATAATATAAGAAGATGAAGAAGAACAAGATGAAGAAAGTGGATAATATAAGAAGAACAAGATGAAGAAGATGGATAATAATAAGAAGAAGGTGAAGAACAAGATGAAGAGGCTGAATAAGGTGAAGAAGCACAAGCCTCAAACAGCAAGGAGATAGTCAACGTGCAGCACCTTGGAAACACATAGAGACTAGCTCAGCAAAGGGCAAAATTAATTCATTCTACCCAGATGTTTGCTTGAAAAGAGGTTTTTTAATAAGGTCTCCTGATGCACCTTGATGGGCTCCAGAGCCTTTGCTCCTTTGCCCTGTGTCATAAGGGTAAATCTTCAAGGAATGGTGTATAAAAATGATTTTTAAAATGTTCTAAAATATGATTATAGGCATTAAAGAACCCATGCCCCTGTGTTACTTACTGTATCACATAGGTGGTGTGGATGTACGTGAGCCTTCCTCTCTCCCAGGTGCAGACGGGATGTCCGTCCATCCCATGCTGGACACACGACACATTTCGTGGCTCCTCTGGAGGGTCTTAAAAGAGATATTCTCATCAGTTTCTTCCTTAGAGATGTCAATAGGAGACATCTTAAGAAGCTATGGCTTTTGGGGTTTTGTTGTTTGTTTTTTTTCAAGAGACAAAATATTGGGGCTAATATTTTTTATGTGTGAAAACAGCTGAGTCTGTGCAGCTTGTTGAGACCTCGGACGCTTGACCAAAGCCCAGTGCCTTTGCAAGATGAATACAAGTGCTGAACAGCTCTCCAAACTAGGCACCAAAAGATTTGCTTGAAGTAATCAACTATTTTTCTTATTTAAAATAAAAAAAGAAAGCAGCAGATGACTGCTGCAGCAACATCAACTCATCAGGCTAAAAGAAAATCTGGATTTTCCTTAGAATTTTTCTTGCAAGTCCCCTGTGTCTTGGAGAAACTGATGGGTGTCAGGGGTAGACCAGGAGAGTACATTTGCTCTGAGCAGGCAGTTTTATCTGGCATCTCTCAATTTACTAAAAATGGAGTTGCCTGGTCACAGCCAGGAATATTTGAAATAAAAAGAACCGCAGAAGGACAGCACCTTCTCTGGAAAAGGCTTCTGGTTTCTAACGGGCGTCCCAGGAAGCATTTAAGAATGAGGAATAATTTAATTCTCCTTACTTCCAGATTCTATATCGATTCCACAGATGAGTTTCTTCTTGTCTTCACAAACCAGTTTGCACGAAAACATGTGCTTGCCGTATGTCCTGACTAGAAACTCGGCGCTTGCAATAATTGCTAATTAGTTCCAAGCTGTTAACAAACAGAGCCGTCCTGCACTGCTTGGGGTAACGCGGGGCCGTCAGCTGGCAGGAGAGGGTGACACGGGTTCCCAGCTGCACGTGAGAAGCTGCATTTGCTGTGATGTTCCCTTTGTCACAGATTTCGGCAGCGCCTTGGGGAGGTCTGCGGACGGGCACCTTGCCTTGGCTGCAGCCTTCTGCAACGGGAAAACGAGGCTTTAATGTGAATATGTTGCTGATCCTGTACGGATATATCCTTTATCCTTTATGGATATATCACTTATCCTGTATGGATATATCATTTAACCTGCATGGATATATCATTTAACCTGTGATTCTGTGATATATCACTTATCCTATATGGATATATCATTTAACCTGTATGGATATATCCTTTATCCTTTATGGATATATCATTTAACCTGTATGGATACATCACTTATCCTATATGGATATATCATTTAATCTGCATGGATATATCATTTAACCTGTGATTCTGTGGTATATCATTCATCCTATATGGATATATCGTTTAACCTGTATGGATGTATCCTTTGTTCTGTATGGATATATCGCTTATCCTGTATGGATATATCATTTATCCTGTATGGATACAGCATTTAACCTGTATGGATATATCATTTAACCCGTATGGTTATATCATTTATCCTATACAGATATATCCTTTATCCTGTATGGATACAGCATTTAACCCATATGGATACATCACTTATCCCATATGGTGTGGGCAGAGCGGCTCCTGTGCTCAGCGTCGCTTGTGGGCAGGCACTCCAATGGGGGCAAAACAAGCCGGGGAGTGCCAGAAGATAAAGAACTGATTCTGTGCAAGCTTGTTACAGAGATGTTTTCTCATGTAACCAACACTCTACCATGAACTAAACGCAGTAACCTGCCTGCATAACTTATTGGCAATTATTTACTATATAATATTTTGAATACCTACATGAAACAGGGTTGCAGCACCGATTATGCATAAATATATGCCCAAGCTGCCAATGCCGGCCACATATGATTTTATATTTGCCTCTTCTGCTGAGAGCTGGGGCTGTACCCAGGGAGGACACTCAACTGTAGCAGCAGATCAGAGTTCTTACAGAAATTACAGTATAAACTTAATCAAGCATCAATTTTTGCTCTCTTGAATGAGAAGCATGTTTATTAGCATACCACACAGAAGCTGAAAAAAAATCCCACACTAATTAGCCTGAGTGCTTCTTTTAAGTTATAATTGCTATGCAGAAAAAAAATTTTAAAATCTCTTACCTGCTGTAAAGTGCTCCAACAACAAGATTGCTGCTGGCACAATCCATAAGAACAGCATTTTGCTCCCTACAGAGAAAGAAATTGCTCCAAAATTCCATCCGAACGCAAACGAGCTCTTAGATTTACCTGATTAAACCCACGCTCCAGTACTGCAAGTTGCAAATATAAGCGTTTCACACAAATTATTCAAGGTCAGCCTGAACTAAGCTCAGTATTTTCCCCACTCATTTTGCAACCAGCTTTAACAACTGTTTCCTCTTTTACCCTTCCTCTGCAGAGCTACAGGAGCAGTGAAAATATCTTGGATAACTCAGAAGTGAATGCACCAGCAAGCACTTTCTGTAAGTCCTGACCCGTCACAGAGACGCTGGTATTTTACCAACTTGGTGCCGCATTAACTACTGCAAAGTGAAACTTTAAATCCTGCCTTTTTTCGTGCCATCTTAGATGAGGAGGCACTTCCACAGGGATGCATCACACAACAGAGCCTTTGCCATATGTATGTTAACATAAAAAAATGGCAGAAAAGATATTTCAGGTGGTTTTTATATAGTGAGTTGGGATCCAATCTGGTTTTGAAGCGAACCAGCATCTGAGGTTAATGCCTAATGCTTAAGATTTGCTAAAGTGCATATTTACACCTTGCTTTATTTAAATCCCGATGTTCTTTGTCCTAAAAGGTTCAACCTTGCCACAGAGCCTCAGCTTCGCGCAACGACACTTCACGCGGTGCCTCCCGTAGGTGATTAGTAAGTGCAAAGATGAGCAATCACAGAACCCAAGGTTCTTCAAGTAAATGCTCTGCCTTCCAATAAACTGAAATTGCCCAGCAACTTTGTAAACATCCTCCAGAGAGCTTGCTTTCTGACAACAAAGCTGCACCCGGGATGCTTTTTGTCGACGGACAAAAATAGTCGTGCTTCAAAATAGGTTTAATGAGTGGTTTACTTAGGTAAGTGCCAGACTCTGCAGCACCGTGTGAGCGCAGCAGAGCATTGAAACTGTGATCTGAGTGAAGTGTGAGAAAAGAATCAGAGGAAACCTTTAGCTTAGAGCAAAGACGTATGGGGGGGGGGAAATTAAGAACTAAAAATCCCCACATTCCACATCAGCGAGGGAAAACGGTACACAGGTTAAAGAAAATATAAAGGATGTTGCCCTGGTAAGTACAAAGTAGAGGAAGCACAGAAGGTGTTCGCGGAGTACGAGGTCATGCCTGTTGGTGTGTATTTATCTCCATGAAATCTCATCTGAAAACAAAGGCGCTACAGACTATGTATTTTGGTTACCTAGGGATGAGCCAAAACGGCATCAGCTTTTTTTTTACAGCAGCCAACTCAAGTTCTTAAATGAAGCTGTAAAGCACAAAGCCCCTGTAGATTGCTTTTAAACAACTTTTTTTTTTAAGCCCTTGCCCCCACTTCTCCCTGAAAAAGCTCCACACAAAGCAAGTATCTGTTCTGAGGGTCTTACATGGAACCCACAGGAACTGACTGAATGCTGGTGGAAAGAGGAACATTTCTCACTGTTACATCTCACTCAGAAAAAAAAAAAAGAAAGGAAAACCACACCACACTATATGTTCCCAAATTGTGCCGTTGCTTGTGTACCACTGACACCAGTAACTCTATTTTCAGGGAAGCATCGCACCGCTGGAAGCTGCCCCAGCTGCTGCAGACCCGGCCAGGACACCCTGAGCAGGGGAACCACCACGTCGGTCAGCGCCTCTTCACCAGAGCTACCGAGCTCCAGGTATTTAATAAGACCTCACTATGCGAAGGAGAGGGACGATGTGTTTTTCTAGGGGACAGCCCTGCAGCGCTGCGCCTACTTAGGCATCTCCATCCCGGAGTGCAGCGAGCAGCCTGAGGCAGGCAGGGAGCATCCCGAGACAGCAAGCAGCCCAGGAGCATCCTGAGGCAGGGAGAATCCTAAAGCAGTGATATCCCAAGGCAGTGAGCGTCCTGAGACAGGGAGCAGCCCAACACAGGGAGCATCGTGAGGCAACAAGCACCCCAAGGCAGGCAGCACTCCAAAGCAGGGAGCGTCCTGAGACAGGCAGTATCCTAAGACAAGGAGCATCCCAAGGCAAAGATCACCCCGAGACAGGTAACACCCCAAGGCAATGAGCACCCCGAAGCAGGGAGTAACCCAAGGCAAAGAGCACCCCGAAGCAGGGAGTATCCCGAGGCAAGCAGCATCCCAAGGCAAGGAGCATTCTGAGGAAGGCAGCATCCCGAGGCAAAGAGCACCCGAAGGCAAGCA